GGCATGGCCTCTTCATAGAAAGCTATGTGTGGATCGACCTATGTCCGCATATCCGGCCCTCTTGGCAGCCCTGCTTGCATGCATGCTAACCACGAAAAAATTGTGAAACGATGCATGGCTGATCCGCTGTAAGAGAGAGAGAGAGAGAGAGAGATATATATATGTATATGCATATATATATATTATATATATATATATTACACGTATGCTTTTTTTATACTCTACATGATCTACAATGTATTTATATTCTTTGTTAATAATACTTTTCAATGACATGTCCGAAGGGCGCTATTGTTGCTGTGTCTATTTGGCGCTGCCAACGCTGGGTGGCCAACTTTGGAATCCAGCTGTAGTCTAAACTCCTTAAAGGGGGTCAAAATCTGGACTATATAGGGTTCCTACCATAAGGCTTATTAAGGGGGATACTAGGAGTTTACACTATAGCTCATATCAAAGATTTGGGTGCCCACCACCATGCCACACCTACTTTTTCTGTGTACAGACATCTTCGTAAGATGCCTCGTTTGAGCAGGAAGTCCCCATTTCAACCGTGATGCAGACTTCGCCAACAGCTGCTTGGATGCTGAATCGATTTCAGGACAGCATTAGTCACCACATTATGAAAGAGACTGCATGAACTATCCAAGATACTGTCATCGGGTCTTCCAAGGAATTAACCCCCTACCCAAGAGGTCTATGTACCCAATAAGTAGGTACTTGGGTTTTGGGTTATAGTAAATTATAGTGTAGGTTTTGTGTAAGTATATGATTATTAAATTATATACTTGGACCCTCAGGGCTAGTTCTTGAAATCCACGAACATCCGTACCCGGCATGCTTCCACCGGTAAACCCATCCTGTATAACAAGGACACTTTGGAGTCATAGTCATGTGAGCTACATGGATTCAGGGTGTAGGGGTTCAGGGTTTAGGGCTAGTCAATATATTTCCTACGTAATTTAATGGACTTGGCTTCCTTATTCGGGACCATATCAGGGACTATTCTGAATTACGAGAGGAATCCCTATGTCCACTGTTAAGGATTTCTTGGAAAGGCTAGTATTGACCGCAGCTCATGCATTGAAATCCTGATTTCCTGGTACAACACTTAGGGGTTCGGGTTTAAGGTTTAGGGCCTTGGTCCCCAATGTCACACTCGATTTCTGGAGGCACACCTATTTCAGCAACTGCCCCTTTACCGTTAATCCTCTAACAGTAAACCCACCGCCGCCCTATAATTCTTTGATACTTGAGACCTCTTCTACCTCTGATGTTCTAAACTCTCCCCGACTTGGGAGCTTGCCTAGACGAAGCTCCTACCCAGAAGCCCTGTACTGAAACCAAGGCATAGTGACCAATAGTGTGCCCTAAACCTTCAAACCTAAACCCTAATCAAACACTAAGCACTAAACCTGAACCCTCTATTCAACCCGAGGCTTGGCCCCTAAACCTTAAAACCTAAACCCTAATCGAACACTAAGCACTAAACCTGAACCCCAAATCTCAAACCCGAAGCTTGACCCCTACATTTCAAGAGCTCGCCCATCCAAGCCTTACAGGGCTAAGCCCATTCAGCCCATCGAGCCCCAAATCCCAAACCCTTTGAATCCTAAACTGGCTCCTCTTGGTGGTAGTATGACAGCTTCGGAAATTTCACACTCAGCTTAAAGAAACCACACCCTAAACCCTAAACCCTTGATCCTGACTCCCAGAAGTCCTGAAACCCAGACCCTGAGCCCTTAATCCTGAAGCCCACACCCCAAATCCCCAAACCCAAAACCCACAAATCCTGCAGCCCGAACCCGAAACCCTAAACCCTAAACTCTCAATCCATACCTTACACCTTTCTAAACCCTAAGCCCTAAAATCCATACCTTAAACCCTAAAGAGTAGTTTCCATTTTATTTTCCATTATCCCAATATAACCCCCTATATAACCCCTATATACCCTATAATTTTGGGAAGTCCCCACTAAGCCCTAAACCCTAAACCCTAAACACTAAA